GGGGGAGGGGGACTGAGGCCAGGAGGCCCCAGGGGCCTGGCCATGTGGGACCTTGACTGCTCGGCTGAGGGGCTGGCACTCCATCCTGGTGATGGTGCACCAGGGGGCCTGGGAGTGTGGGAGGGGCACGGGCAGCACCAGGTGTGGGAAGAGCCTTGGGCCTGTGGGAGGGGCGCTGGGGGCTGGGTGAGGGTCCAGGTGGCGGAGGACAAGGCCTAAGCAGGGAGGTGATGCTGGAGGAGGGGTGTTGGGGGGAGGGGGGCAGGAGGGATAGGGCCTGGGGCTGCTGAGCCATGGGGGTTGAAGCGGGGGAAGACTCACAGACCCCGGGACTCTCAGGCTTCGTGGGGAGGGGGACACCTTTCTCGGGGCCCAGCTCAGTCTCTGACCCCCCCCCAACCAGGTTGGCCCCCGACTGCCGGCTGAACCCCCATCGCAGCTTCCTGGGCACCGGCAACTATGACGTCAATGTGATCATGGCTGCTCTGCAGGGGCTGGGCCTGGCCGCGGTGTGGTGGGACCGAAGGAGGTGGGACCTGAAGCTCGGTAGCTGGTAGCTCAGTGGCCTGTGCTGGGCTTGGCACCGGGGGGTGCAGTGTGAGGACAGTCGGAGGAGCAGAGCCGCAGGAGGGGGATGGGAGGGAGGGAGGGAGGGAGGGGAAGATGGCTGGAAGGTTTGCATGGTGGATGGGTTGGAGGTGGTAGAAGGATGTGTGGGTCAATGGATATTGATGGGTGGGTGGTGGGTAAATTCATGGAACTGGGTGACGAACTGGGTGGGGAATGGGCGGTTGGGTGTGTGCAGTGGGCGGTGCCTGGGTGATGGGCTGCGTGAACGGATGGAATGAAGATGGGTAAGTAGCTGACAGGCCGTGCACAGCAATGGGTGGCTGGTGGCCGGTAGAGCAGATGAGTTGCGTGGGTGGTGGTCAGTTTGTGGGTGGGGAGCTGGCTGCATCAGCGGTGCGTGCTGTGTGGGATGATGGGTGCTGGGTGGCGGTTAGATGGGGGGGCGGACAGGTGGTGTAGGGCGGGTGGGGAA